TGGGGTCTCTCTCCATGACAATCCACTGAACAAGGTGTTTCCGGGTTTCTGTAGATCGAAACACGGCAGATGGTAAAGAATAAAGGCTCTGAGTGGACAAGAATGGGTCTCTTCTCTGTGATGAAAATTTTTAATTTAGGGAAAGTACCCGACTAGGTTGATTGTTCCACTTATTAAGGAAAATTTAGCTATTTTTCATTCTCGTAAGTATTTGTGTGGAATATACGCATAGTATACCCTCTTTGGCCTCAGGAATAGAACCCTTCTGAATGAAGTACAGGGCTAAGGACACTATCATAGAAAAATAGAAATTATTTCTCCTGGCAATTTGTATGCACATAGCTATCCATTATTCATGAGCTGCCTCTTTAGTTTTAAATGATCAGTGTCTTTTCTGTTCTTTACTCTGCCTTCTGTTTCCACCATGTTGGCATTTCACTGCTCATTAATAATTGTGGGAAGAAAGGAGGGAATACATTAATTGATGATTGCATCAATCAATACATGATTTTCCACTGGTATAAAAGTCCTGGTGGCATTTTTTCAAAGGTAGATACTGATGGCTAAACTACCAGTGTGAGCTGGGGAGTGAGTTTGTGATTATTCTTCCCCATCAGCAGAGAGTATGATGGCCATCTGCCTTTCATGAGGCATAATAAATACCCCAAATGAACATTTACAGGAAATAGAAATCCTGCATCTTTGAAGCTTTTGTTTTGAAAAGAGACATGAGCAATAATTTTAGTTGAGGAAAAACAGGATTGAGAGTTTTCACATACGTGTTTTATGCCGAGCTCCAGTATCAGGTAGCAGAGGTGGGTAATCACAGGGTAGTGGCAGCATGGATTTAGATGAGATACTGCCTCACCAAAATATTTGTCATCAACTGTTCTACGGTCGTGCAAGAAGTCTCAGACACAGAGGCCTATCATGTGGATTAACAGAACTGTCAGTAGGCTCAGATTCCCTGTCTCACCTTGCCCGTTTTAAATGGATGATTTACGATAAACTGGCTAACCTGATTTAGGAACATTTGCACATACTCTTTGAGGGCCATGTGCTTTTGCCCTTGCAAAAGAGCAAGAATCTGTACAAAGCCTACTACCTGTCATACCATGTGCTAGAAACATAACGATGTAGAAAGTATCTGGAAGAGCATATTCTCAAGTTAGAGTAAAATACATCTAATACTAAGAGAGCAAAGTTACAAGCAAGCCATGCGCCAAGGAAAAGGTCCAGACGTTACATGTTGGTGGAATTCAAAGAGAAGGGCGAAGTCCCCGAGACCCAGAGTGTTCAGGGAAGGGCTTTAGAGAAGAGAGAGAATGGGAATGGGAAAAAGGAGGGAGCATTCCAGGCAAGGAGAATAGCAGGCCCAGTGGTCCAGATGTGGGAAGGGGTGTGGCATTTTGGGGAAAAAAGGACCCCTCGGCTGAGTAGCGTAGAGAACTAACAGGAGTGATAGGGAGAGGTCTAAGGGCAGAAGGTCTTGAACTAAGGCTAAGGTGTTGGGCTTTGCCCAATAGACAGTATCTTTAAAAGCAATTACAACTAATTCTGATTTTGTAGACTTTTTTTTTTTTTCCTTTCCAAATCAGCAAAAAGCTACCCTTTAGGTCAAAGAATGTGGTAGTGGTTCTTGAGAAAGGAGTCGGTTGACTGGTTGTGACTGTTCCCTGGATTAGAACCTAAATCAGATCTGCAGAGCATCATCTCTCGGTCTTATCAGGCCCGAGGACGTAGCGCCAGGAGTCACACTCTGGTCTGCTGCTTCCAGAGCTCAAGCCTAACCACTGCATTGTACGGAAGTTTGAGTGGAAGGCACTATCCAGCAGGGATTACATTATAGGACAACTGACATTTCATCTTTTTCCTTATTATTAATAACCATAGTGATTGTCTTGCTACCTTCCTTGTGGGCTTTATAGTCTTCAACACGTTTTCAAGTACATTCTATCTCTTGATGCTTACAACAGCTCTGTTAAGTAAGCAAGAATTTTAAATTATAAAGTTATTTCTGGGCTCCCAATTATCTGTGCAATTAATCCTGGTTACATATGCAGTACTCTCATTTGTATTGTCGTAAAAATTATAATGAACAGTTTGCCCTTCTTTTTTTCCAAAATAGTTTAAAATTCAGGACAGGTTGTTGAAATTCTCTCCAAAAGAGTGCGCTTATTTTAGCATTGCATTTTTCTTCTCAGATTAAGAACCTCCGTTACGCATCAAAATAAAAGCTTGGATGCCACGAAGAATCATTTAGAACAAGGCACTACATCTTTAACACTCCTTAATTACAACTGGATAAGGTGACTCACTTGGAAATCCTTGGAGAGTAGGCAGGTGATCTGCTACATGTGTTTATTTATCTAAAACAATTTAGCAATTTACAACCGTATCAACTCCGGTTTGCCTGTCATGGGGCATTTTCCAGGACTCTTTGATTTGGTCTACATTAGATTTTCTTTTCACATCAACTTATCCTCCAAGCGGTATTACTTTTGTTGTTGTTCCTGAGCCAAAACTTGCCCATACCCCTTGAGTAAATTAATGGTAATGCTGTAAAGTACATGTTTAAAATTCCAGTCTGCTGTGGACTAACTTCATTGGTATGAAACTCAGACCCTCTCTTATTAAACACTGTTAAATATTCTCTTCATTTTCAAGACAAATATGAACAGAAACACAACCAAACATGTACTGTATTAAAATCATTGATTCACAATATTTAAATTTTCAGCTAGCCTCCAATTAGCAGGCTTTCCAATATTTGAACAGAAGACCATTTTAATGTAATTACAAACACATTTTAGGCATCTAAATTTTTTGCATAATTAGTTCCCTATTAAACTATTTATGTAGCCCTTTTTCCATCAGAAACAGAGAAAGCAGAACAATTTTATTCTTACTGTTACAATAATTAACTATGCAAGTAGAACAGCATATTAATAGAGTATAATTTGTTTACATTTAAAAGAAAATTGTGTTAGATTAGCATAGCAAAAGACTATTTCCATATCCAGGCAGTAATATGCAGGCCTAATAGCAATTTACAGTGTAGTTAAAGAATATTATTAATAAAGTAATACAGTGTAATTCTGTTTGCCCCACCATATTTCACAATGTCCTTAATTACAGCTAATTCCATCGAGACTAATTTGGGTGTTATTAAGCAGTAGACATAGGAATCTTAAATACAACCTTCGCTAATAATGAATTTAGAAGTTACCATAGAACTTGTTCTTGCAAAACCTAGGTAGAAGATGAGTATTTGGATTTTCTCCCTGGGGTGAAACCTATAAACATACACATATGTAACTGATATCTAAAAACAAGATTTTCTGGATCCAGGGTTCTGTTAACTGCTCAATGAGAGGTTTATTATAAATAAATAAATACAGTTCAGGTGAGATAGGATAGTGCATGACACTTAGGTAACAACTTCGATTGGTGATTCTTTCAGTGAGAATTTTTACTTTATTAATGGCTTGATTTTTTTTTTTTTCAACTGAAGCAGTGATTGGTTTACGGGTATGTTAGTGTTTTTCCCTCAAGGGAAATTAATAACAGTACTTCCTCCTTATTAAATACCTGCATTTCACCGGATACTGTGTGTGCTATATGTAGATTACCATCAGTCCTCAAATTAACCCTGTAAGGTAGCTAATAGTTAATCTATTTCCCAGATGAGGAAAAACTGAGTCTCAGAGAGTATACTAGGGATTCACTAGAAGCCACGCAATTAGGAAAGAGTTAAGGAAGATTCTGAGCAAGACATAGTGTACCTTTGAAGCTCAGACTTTACAGATCTCATACTGTTTCTTTTTTGGTATATACACCTATGATCTATTCAAAAGTGAGTTGGAAAAAAATTTACTAGGCTTTGTTGCCCTTTTGGTAAACTTAAGTTTATTTTCCTAGTTTTGAATTAAGTATAGATATGGAAGTAAATAGTAAGTCTTTCTGTAACAACTGTGTAAAAATCAGTACAGATGAAAGTGTGATAATGTTCATATTTTTCCTTTAATTTGTTTATTAATACATTTTTTTCTTTTTTTTTTTAAAGAAAATGTGGGATGATGAATGTGGGTAAAATTGCTGTGGCTAGAATTCCAAGTGGTATGCATTCTGGTCCTGCTTTTGCCTCTTTTTGGCTGACTCCAGATTCAGAATTAGTCTTTGAAAAGTAGAACCCTGTCACTAATGATATTTGAAAATTCTTTGGTGTTTAAAAGGCACAGAACAATAAAGACTTAATTTTCAGTTTACTAGTAGACATGCTTGAGATTTAGTTCTTCACTCAGACCTTGAGTGTCTGCTTTATCACCTGGTATTCCAGTACATTCTGTAAGCTCGAATGGGGCTACCTTATCATGCATCCGTTGAGGCAATATTAAAATTGGTTTGCATTTCTTTAGTGGACATAGCTAATTAAAGAGCAAGAGAAATATAGGCTAGGTGGTGAGAAGAAGCTGTCCTGGGGTGGGGCCACTGGGACCTCAGGTCAGAAGACCAAGGCCCTGGCTCTACCACTTACTAGCTGTGTGGAATTGGGCAAGTCACAATCTTCCAGGGCTGGCCATCCAATAGAACGTTCAGCAATGGTGGAAACGTTCCATACCTGTGCTAAGCAATATGGTAGCCACTACCCACATGTGGCTGTTGAACACTTGAAGTGTGGTTAGTGAGACCAAGAAACATAATTTTACATTTTATTTGATTTTAATGCATTTAAATTTCAATAGCTGCATATTGGTTAATGCCTAACTTAGGAGAGAATGTAGTCTTGGAGCCTCAGTCACCATGCTCGTAAAATGATGGTAAAAGCAAGTATTTCTCATATTTCAGAATATATCTGTGGGCTTAAATAAGATGATATATACAGGTAATGTGATTCATAACCTCTAAGGCATCCCTCAAATATAAGTAATTAATAATAACCATGACAACAGCAAAAACACTAATGATACCAATAACTGTTATTGTTGGATATAACGCACCTAGTAGAAGATCTCAAGTTCCTGAGTGTGGACTTTATCACTACCCTCTACTCTTCTCTTTTCCATGGTTGTGTTGATCTGTGATTCCACACTTCCTAGGGGCAGATGGCAATCATTGCAAGCTTAATTATATATACTATGGGGACCGAAGTAGATAAAAAGCAGTGAGTCCAGAGAATTAGATTCTAATTGTAATTCTGACATTGACTGACTGTATAATCCTGGCTTCTGCTAAAACTCCAGGAGCCAATTTTCTACAAGCTTTGACCAAGGAAGTTCTCTTAATGGTTTATAGACTCACAAAATGTTAGTGAGAAAAGGGACATAAGAGATTATTTTGGCCAGTCCCTTTCTTTTCTAGATGAGGACACCAAAGTCTAGAGCTGGTAAATGACTTGCCCAAAATGGCTTGATGAGTTGGTAGCAGAACCAAGCATAGGTTACAGGTCATTGTTCCCACTGTACTCCATACTCATTGTAGGCTCACTGTATGATAACTCAAGGGAGGGGGGAGTCACTGTTTAATGCCATTGAAGATAGATAGCAAACTGGTGATCACATATCCCCACAGGACTTAATCACAATTCTATAAAAGCTATATAAACCGTACTGTAATTAGCTTAGCACCATGAGGTAGATTCGTTCACAGAGCCCACATTCCATTAACTAGCTGTGCAACTCAGTTTCCACATTTGTAAAAAAAAGCGGGGTTGGATGAGTAGATATCTAAGGTCCCATCCTGCTCTGAAAGTCTGTAATTCTAAGACTCATGCACTGATTTTTTAAAAATTGTAAATGAATTCTTATGATAGTGATTCCTACAAATATTTCAAGTACAATAATACGTGTTTCTGTGAGTCTTACTATTCTGTCTGTAGATACGATTAGGTATACATATATGAATCTGCAGTATCCTTATGGATACTCCATAATTCTGGAGGGGTCTGGAATCCCCAGGTTAGTGTTGCTGGTCTAGGGAGGCCTTTTCTCTTGGGACCAAGATGGAATCAATCAATATTTTATGTTTTTGTATTATCCGGCACATTTTTGTCTTTTTTATCAAGTGGGTTGTTAGGGCTCCCAGTCATCATCTTATAATTTTAATTAAAAATTTTTAAATAAGTACTATACATACAATACAATATTCAGGGTTAAAGTAGGGTTTGCAATGGAGGGATCCTATCCCTAGGCACTGCTGTTAACAATAAGATCACCAACCATAGCATTTGTCCAGGACTGAGGGGTTTTTGGGGACATGGGACTTGCAATGCCCAAACTGGGAAGGTCCTGAGCAAACCAGATCAAGTTCATCATCCTACTACGTTTCTTGATATACCCAGTTTCTGATGCCCTGGCACCAACCTTTGCAGTTGCCACTGATATGGAATTCCAGTGGGCATGAGGTATTTAGCATTTTTCTCCAGATGACATCCTGAAATAAATAAAACTCACCACTCAAAAGATGAACATCCAAACGTCTTTGGATATTTCTTATTCTCTAAATTTTAGAGAAAAAAAGGGTGGGGCTGAAAACGAGACCAACTTATTCAAGGAAAACAGACTGAAAGTGCAAACCTCCATTGTGCAACTAGTGACCTCTAAAACATTGGGAAGATTTTATTCGCAAGCAGAATAAATTATTACTTGTTGATGAAACCGGCCTCCTAAAAAAAAAGTCACTTGAGTCATTTAATATCCATTTGTGAAAAGACTTGAAAATAGACTAAAACTGACTTCTGCTTCCAATCGTGGTAAGGAATGGAATGAAGTCAAGATCTGGAGTTGACAGAGCGAAAACCAAGATGATCTAATAGTTCCTTTACACTTTTAATTTTGATGGATTTGTGTTTGGGAGTAATGGTAATGCTTTCCATTTCTGAAGGGTGAGCTGTTCATTCCAGAATATGAATTATGTACATTCATTAAGATTTTCCCCTAAAATGAGTTTTTCCATCTACTTTTTTTTGAATGCATATTTTATGAATGTATAAGCTGTTGTGGAGCATGATGCCTTTCAAACTCTACCTCTTTTTTTATTGAAATGACATAAAATTGTGTTTTTCCTTCTTGTTGCATTTTACATTTGCATCTTATTCAAATCAGTGTGTATTTATGGAGAAGCTATTATGTCTAAGGCACTACTCAGAGTCCTAGAGGGAATACCAAAAATGAGTGAGAAATGCCCTGCCCTCAAGGAGCTTAAGCTTAGGTACAGTGGGATAAGTACCCAAAGAGCTATAAAAGCACGCAACATAAAATAATTGCCATAAAGAATGTTTAATAAAGAAGAGATATTACATCTAACTGATGAAAAGAAACCTCTTTATAAGAGAGAAATAGTATTTGAAATGAGTCTCAATAATGAGTAATGAATTTGAGTGCAATTATAAAGCATTCAGCTCAGTTTTAGGGAACTGTGATAACTATTGTTGGACTGGAATGTCTAGTGTAGAGGGAGGCTCCAAAGTAAATTCAAGCTGTAGGGCACAGACCCATGAAAACAGTAACGGAGAGTTAGCTATCTAATTGCTTGGGCAACAGGGAGTAAGTGCAGATTTCAGAGCAGGGGCATGATACACTCAGATGTGCATTTTAAAAGGTCACTCTAGCACTGGTTTATAGCATGAATTGAAATGAAAATAGAAAAGAGGAGATGGAGAGACAAGAGGAGAAGTGACAAGATACTCAAGAAAGGTAGTAAGAACAAAAAAGCAGGGAACATACTTAGGAATGTGATTAAAAATCTTCATGACTTGGAAGCTGGAAGTAATGAGAAGTCAAAGGTGACTCTGGGCTTGAACCATGATAAGGGGGAGTCAGCTGGTGCCAGAAAGCAGAGGTGGTTGGGGGGGGGCAGGGAAAGGCAAAGAATCGAATCCTCTTGGAAGTTATTTCCATTTGTATTGCTTAATGTTGATATGTCCCCTTACATGTTTTCTACTTAATGTTATTTCATCTTTAATTGAAAAAAAAATTTTTTTTTTAATTTCCTAATAGCCCATTGAAGATAGAATTTTATTGTGACTCCTCTTAGTATTTTGCTGTACGGACACCCGACAATATGGGACAAAAGCTAAGCAGAGAGTCAACATTTGCATTGTACTAGATTGTATACTAATTCGTGGGCTTATACTCATACCATCTTTCTTTTACTCCACGTGAGATATCCAATTGCTCCTCAGAATGTCAGTTGTCAAGGGGGAGGGATAGCAGTCACACATTTTCATATGATAAAATTATCATTATACTCCATACTCTGTTCAACAGAAAGTAGTTATCCAGTGGTGCTTTGGATAGGGTCAGTATCGGCTTTATTGATACTGGGTTATCTATTGAGCTGTGAACCCTGGCAAACGAAACCCTATAGTTCAAATCAAAATGTGGAAAGACTCTCGGGAGCACAAATCATTTTATTTCCCTCCTCTTTTAGACTGATAAAATATTCCATCTGTTTGATAGCACAAGTGTTGTCCCCCAAAAAGGTGGGGGCTCTCCCCTGACTGCAGCTATTAGGCTGAAATCTTATCAGTCCTAGGGGTGGCGGGAGACCTACCAGCTCTCATCCTGAGTTAATCAAATTAGGGGTTTGTCATTCTTTCCCTCCCTCGCAGGAAATTAAGTTTCACTGAACCATTTGGGTCACACCCTTAGTATCTGAGAACGATCTCCCTGTAAGATAAGTTTACAGTATTCAGTTGCTTTGGGGCATTGCCTTTTGATTACTTTTTTTTTTTTTTTTTGTAGAAGGCCCATGTTTAAGGCAGCTTTAATACTTTACCCAGCTGTTCCACTTTTAGGATCAGGATCAGTGTGATCACGTGGTAACCCTGGCAAAGTCTCCCCTAATGTCAGAGGAGAATCTGGAAAAAATTGTACGAATGTTTTCTCAAATGCAATCAGTTTTATTTTTTCAAGTGGGTATTGTTTTAACTGTAAAATGGCATCCAGCTCTGACAGCAGTTAAGTCGTAGTGGCAGCCTAATCTCAAATGAAAACAAGATTAATCTGCCCCCAGAACAATTGCTTTCTACAAACGTGTTTTTCTCATTCCCTTTTTCTCTCCTTTTCCCCCGATTCCTTTCCAGCAGCTGCCCAGGTCTCGCACCATGCTTGCCTGTTTTCCCTTTTCTGCTTTTGAATATCTGGGGCTCACGGCTTCCGGGAGCACATTCCCAAAACAAGTTAGACGCTCCTGGTATGTTCTCAGACATTCAAAACATTGATGAAGAGCGTTCCACAATTTCCATGTGGCACAGACTTGGAACGTTTCCTTCGAAAGTTCTGCTATCTCTACTTAGAGAAATGATTTTAGAAGAAATCACACATGGATTGAAGAACTAGCAGATCCCTTGACCAGCTTTGTCCAAGTTTATATTCTTCATCTCACACCTGAACTCCACATGGTTTTCATGGCCATTTGATATAAAAAATTTAGAAAATTGCTCCCCACCCCTGCCAAAAAACCCCCAAAACAAAACCAAAACAAAACCTACCAGAAGAGAGTATCAGTACTCTTTTCTACCATTCATCCATTTATTTCCTCTTTTGTTGACCCTATAAGAAAGAAGCTATGAGAGTGCATACTTTTCATTTTAGAATTAAAATTCAAAATATGATGGAATCATCTGTGTTGTATTAATGCATGTGCCTGAAGCTTTTCAGGTTATGGGTCACCCAGATTTGACAACTGGGATCAATCTGAAGAATATCCATATAGAAAACTTCTCTGTTTATTTCTTATATTCCTGACTTCCTAAAAAAAGAGGCAGTCATTATAGTGGAGGACCCATAGAAGCATGAGAAATTCTTAAGCTCATGGAAACCTACCACCCTGAGGATTGCTGGCAAGTCAGTACTGCCATTTTTATTTATTTATTTTTTTACACTTTGCACTTTTCAGCGGAGTCCAGAGTTGTCTAGTCAAATGTAATCTTTGTGCTTTCAAATCAATTCAAACAGCTTGCTACTGTTTGTCACAATTTTCATTTGGGCTCTTAGAATCTTGCTTTCTTTTTGTAAAAGCCACATTTTACATTCATAAACCATTGCGTGTTGCTCATTTAACCCTGTTCCCACGCTCCACTCCAAATGCATTATGGAGTGACCCCGCATGTCAGCACTCTAGCATTGTACAGTAAATAGAGTGTTTTGCTTCATAAATCAAGCATAGAACTTATAGCCAACTTCAGCATAAAAAAGTCACTGAAATAATATGGCCCAGCTGCAGGAGATAGACATTGTATTCATAAAGCTAGCCTTAAATTACTGACATTTAAATCCAGATTTGACAAAGCTAAGACTATTTTGGAGGATTCTGAGTAATCCTCATGAAATTCCAAATTTCTCTTTTGTTGTTTTGAAGGAGATTCATTTTTAAAAGGAATGAGGGTTAGATTTTGTCCCCTCCACAGTATCTTTGATGGTATCAGGAAGGCACACGTGGGTGGCCAGTTCACCTAATTATGCAGGTCACTTTTGCAAATCATCTATTTTTGCGTTAGAAACCTGTTTTCTGGGGCAGAGCTTTCTTATTGTATAGCATCAATAAGCAGTAAAATGCAAAGGTGATTTGGAAAATTCAGGTTTGGATTTCTACCCCATATAAATCAGACTGAACACAAACATCTCATTGAGGGTGTCCAAAGATAGAAACTAATTTTATTTCAAGCAGCAATTTGTATTTCTTTGTTGGGAAAAAAAAAAAAAAAGACAGCCTAAAAGCCCCACAATTGGCCAGACTTCCAGTTTTCACGGTTCTCTGTTCATTTATAGGTAGTAATCTCTTTATAGGTAGCAATTTTAGCATTCAAAATTTAAAAATATGCCAGAAGAATGTATATTTACAGTGTTGTCTCTGAAAGCATGCTTTGAAAATCACCTATGATTGGAACACCTTGTCAGTGGATACTTGTCAACATACCAGATCGTTTAGGCCATAATCTCTCTAGCCAACACAATTGGCTGAAATGAATTAAAATTATTTTATTTTCCCATTAGATTTTACTATCCCCACCTCAAAAAAAAATCTGATTTTATTTAAAAGCACAAAACTAAACGCTTATAACAAATGTAATTATAATAGTATGAGAATTAATGAGAGATGGGAAAAGGTAATGTTTGTATTTTATCTTTCATGCAAATAGATTAAAAGCCATTACCACTATGTTAAAAACATTTATCTGGTAACTGTAAAATGAGTTAGACTAGATTTTTCAAAGTTTTAATGTCCTTCCTACAGGTAATTTCTTTGTTCACCTAAGATAGAAGAGTCTAACTGAATTATGTTTGGCATAAATTGCCTTCTGGAATTCAACTACTTCTTTTGGGAAGTAGCAGTATCTTCAAATTAACCTCAGTTAACACGAATGGACTAAAAAAATTGTTCAAAAATTTATGTAGTTCAAAAATTGTCAGATTTGTTGAAATGAATAATGTGTTTGGATTTTTGGAAGACCTTTACAAATTTTGAACCTCCTGCAGTTCCATTTGGTGTAAAGAATTATACTATAAACAAGGGGCTCCATCTGTACTTTTGAAATAACTATTCAGTTTTCCATTTCAGTGCTCAGACAAATTGACACGACAAACTGAAAAGCAGAAGTTAGTGTTCAAAGAAGTTCAAGAGTAAACATTTAGTCAATTCGTCTGTCGGATGGAGAGAGATTCAGTGCACCAGAGTCCAGGATTCTGAACACAGCTTCTAGCCTGGTGGTGAAGGCAGTCTGTACTCTTTCCCCATTGCCTCAGGTCACATGCAGAATATGCATCTACTCATAGGGTCCTCACTATTTCTGGGTGTTTTGTATACATTGTGCTACATTTATGAATGAGGAAGAGGTTTATATGAAAATTTCACTTACGTTAGTGTTTTTTCTGGTCCTTTTCACTGATGACTTAGGCAAGTAGTTGGTCTTTCTGTTTGGCCAAGGGTATAAGAAATCACATCTCTAGGAAGAGGAATAAAATGATAATGGCTGTTGGAAACTTGATAGGGCTCAGCAAGACAAGTTATAGAATGCTGTTTTAGTCAAATTACTTTTCAATTCCGCTTGGCGGGAAATGACAGATCACCAATATACAAGGTTTTGTGAGAGGTGCCCTGTGATCTGCTTTTGGCAGGAACTGTCATATTTAAGGTAAACATAATCAGGGGAGGGGCAGCAATAAATCCATCCCCATCGAGAACATTTGGCACGTGTCATTCTCCAGATCTCAAATTCTTTCTCCCCTAGTACTTTCTGTCTGGGCTCTGTTGTTCAAGGATCCAAGGACTCATGACCTGGTCCCAGTCATTCTCGTTATGCCCGCAGCAATGCATGCCCCAGTCAGTATTGTCTTCATGAGACTTTACACATCCCCACATAAGCCCACTCACCACCTGCTCGCCTTTTCTTTTCCTTTGCCATTCTTTACATGTGATTGCTCATTCTTGGCCCTACTGTAAAGTTCCTGTTGTCGGTGCAGCCTTAGCCCGCTGTGCTGCTCTGTGAGGCTGTGCTCTCCTTGACCTACAGCAAACGAGGTCTTTGTCATTCATTTGGAACACGTTATGCGCAGGCCAGCATTGTGGGCTATCTTGTAATCTGTATATTTTTCTCCCCAATGAGATTATGCATTCTCTGAGAAATTACGATGGCTCTTTGTACTTCCTGGCCTTAATACCTCATAGGCTTTCAATGGCAGCGGGCTGATGTAGTGATGAAGCATTGTATGGATGTCTGTGAAATTAGGGTGAGTTGACATGGTGTATTCCCATGGCAGTTAATCTGTGCAGACTTGGGTTGGATCAAAGGCCTCATCAGGCTTAGATAAGATAAGACCCTTTTAGCTACCAAAGGATGCAGCATTAATTTTTCAGATGAAAAGACAACTAAATTTAAACCTCTCTGAAGTATGGAATGCAATGGAAAGCAACTCAAATTCGGATAAAGGTTATTTATTACAGAAATACCATTCCATTTCTCAAGTCCTCCCTTTCATGGGGAACATTATAGTGTGACTACAGCATATGCTTTTCAGGCCATCTAAAAGGTCATCATTTTGAAAACCCCTTGAACAGTTGGATTATCATCACTCAGTGTCCTAAGACAGAGAGCAGGGAAACTCAGAATGAGGCTAAGGGAAGGAAATGAGTATTCGTTGAATCCAACCTTTTTGGCGTTTCTCTATGGCAACGTTACAGGGTGGATAGAATTATGTTCATTGTTTGCATGAGAAACCAGATACTTAGAGGTATTGAATTAATTGTCCAGGATCACAGAGACAACTCACACCTCTCTGTTTTTATGTCTCTTGCCCTCTTTCACCACTGTCTCGATAAGGAAGGCTCAGCTCTCACGATAATGAGTCAACATCTTAATAAAACTCTTCCTTTAGTTTTGGTTGGGACATTGCCAGCACTTTTCTCATCTGTGGTGCTGTGCCATTTCTACAGTTTTGGGAGGTTGGAGTGATTCTTTCAAGAAAATCTGGTTTGATTCATCTAGTAGGATGAACTCCTAAGGCGAGAGACCTTAATGTCTTTTCCAGTGACGTTTTGCTTCCTGATCAGACTGTGCTGCTCCTCTCTTCTGAGGAAGTTGAGAGTTTCATGGTGCTGTTTGAGGGACCATAAAGGCATGTAATACCAAGACAGGCATCCTTGAGAGGGTCAGGGTGATCACTAATAAAGAGCTTGCATGTAGAGCGTCAGTAGACAAAATTGGGCCAGATGTACAATTTTGTGTGTGTGTGTGTGTGTGTGTGTGTGTGTGTGTGTGTGTTTAAGTTGGACCCACCAGTGGCTATCCATCAGTCCTCATGGATAGCTGTGTTCCTTCGGATTGGCTGGTGGTCACCCTCATGGTTGTTGGTTGTTTTGATGTTTTGCTTTCATAGGTCTCCAGCTGGTCGACTCTTCTCCACTTCCCTCTCTTTTCTCCTTTTTTATGATTGTTACAAAGCAAATTCTAAGTTACTTTTCATTTTTCATTTGTCAGCTCTCCTGCTGACCAGTCAACTCTGCCAGACTTGCTGTGTTAGTCTCGAAAGCTGGCTGCCACAACTCCTCCTCTCCCTCTGTGCACGTGCCATTCCTCTCTGTTCAAGGTAAAGCCTAGTTCCCTTCCTTTTAAGTCTGGGCTGGCCTCATGACTGGCTTTAGCCAATAGAATGTGGAAGAAGTGATACAGTGCTAGTTCTAAGTCTAGCCTTTAAAGGTCTGGAAGCTTCCACCTTCTCCCTAGGAAGCCAGTCCCAGGTAAAAAGTTCAACTACGCTGAGACTACCATGTTGTAAGAAAACCCAGGCTAGCCACAGGGAGATACTCTGGGGGAAGAGAGAAAGACACTTAGCCAGCCCCCTGCTGTTTCAGCCATGATAGCTGAGGCATAAGATGAGTGAGTGAAGGAGCCATTTTGGATCTCCCTGTCCTAGTAAATACCATGTGGAGTGGAACAACCACACAGCTTAGCCTGGCCAAGATTACACAATTATGGGAAACAATTTATTAGTGCTGTTTTAATCCACTAAGGCTTGGGGTGTTGTGCAGCAATCAATAATTGAAATTTTGGAATCCTTGCTTAAAGGCTTATATCCACAATCCACTGCAATATTCTAGAGCTATGTGATACAATAGAGTATTAGCCAAATGTGGTTGTTTAAATTTAATTAAAATTAAACAAAGGTGAAATTGCGGTGTCTCAATTTTACTAGCCACCTCTGAGGTGCTCACAGCCACTGCTTTGGACAGCACATACAGGACATCTCCAACATCACAGAAAGTTCTATGGGATCTTGGTTATCTTCACGTTTTTCTGGAGTCTTATGTTACCTATTTGTCAGGAGATGTCAATCCCAACAAATTGCCTTAGTGGAGCACAAGGTTTTTGTAAAGCGATAGAAGCTGGCACAGGTACACATAATTGGGCTATGTGGGGCCCTAGCTAATGTCAGGTCAAGATGGTCTACCCTTGTTCTCTAGACAATGGGGTGCCTTTGAAGGTTTTGAGATGAGAGAAATGACCAAAAGGGTTATTTGGAAAGATGAATATCATGCAAAATCAATTCAGCTGGGTTTTACACTGAAAGTGCCTCTCTCAATCTTATTAGTTATTTGTTTCTCCAGAAATAACTTACTTTCAACTGTTTTCTGTTTCTTCATTTATAATTTTAACTTACCTTCCTGGGGTTAGGGCAGGAGTAGAATCAAACCCATTTTCTGCTAATGGAATAATTTGGCCTTGATTATGGTAATTCATTGTACCTTGACCTAAAAGAACTGGCATAAAACACAACAAAAATTGTAATGTAGTTGAAAAGAAATAAACCTCTAAAATATGACTGATAATGGTACATTATTTACATTCTTCCTAACTATGCCAAAAGAAATACACATCCAAAAACCCCTTAGCTCTGTGCTTCAGTCATTGTTTTTAACATGAAATAAAATTCCCTATCTGGGTTGAAATTAAATCACAAACAACATGTTACGATATACACCAAAGTACATTGTAAAATAATTATATTGAATATATATAGTTGTAACTATAGGAAATTGTATTTGATTAATTCTCCTTTTGTAAAATGATGACATAAATATGGGTAGCAAAAAAAATCAGATTATCTCAATTAAAACTCAATAGAATTCTAGTAGTGTAAATAGTAGACTTAGTTCAGTGTATCTACTTACTATTTAAAGATTTATTTATTGGGGGGGGCAGGGGCAAAGGGAGAGAATCCTCAAGCAGACTCCCTGTGAGTGCACAGCCCAACGAAGGGCTTGGTCTCAAGACCAACGAGATCACGACCTGAGCAGAAACCAGGAGTTGGACACTCAACCGACTGAGCCACCCTGGTGCCCCTCTATTTACTATTTAACAATAATAGTATAATAAGAGATCTGGAAATCTTTAAGAATCTTCACTTAGGAGTTTGCAGATCCAGATCCTGGTTTTGGCTTGGCTATCACTGAGTTTTGTAGCCTTGGACAAGTTGATCACCAATTGGTTACATCTATAGAAGGGGCCTGATTCTACCCTTCTTTATAAGTTTTTCTGGCTTGGGCCACTGAACAAAAGGTTCTTTTGACTGTAGATGTTACTAAAAAATAAAGCACAACTCTATTCTTCTTAGGTCCTGATTTCTTTCTCCTCAAATAGAAGAAAAATATGAGAATTGAGTGTGAAGATCCACCTTATGCTAAAATGTGCCTATGATTTCTTTGGGGTGGTTAAAAGAAAAGAAAAATAGGAAATCTCTGTCTCAAAACACATTTTCCTGACTTTAGCCCTTTGCCCTGATTTTAAAGTGCTGGAGGCTAGGTAGTTTTGTTTTGTTTTGTTTTTTGTTTTGTGGGATCATCATGAATACCTATGTGTATCTGCAGAGAATTCTCTCCCACATAGATAAGTTTTTGTTCTCCGAAACCTTTGTAGAAGTAACCATATGGATGCTTCTCCTTTCTCTCATTCTGGCCTTGGGGCTTTTCCTTCTGTGCACTTACCCTTTCTCTCTTCATTCCTTCCTCCACCCTCAGTGCATAAAAAGTTCATGATTAGGCGCCTGGGTGGCTCAGTTGGTTAAGCGACTGCCTTCGGCTCAGGTCATGATCCTGGAGTCCCGGGATCGAGTCCCACATCGGGCTCCCTGCTCAGCGGGGAGTCTGCTTCTCCCTCTGACCCTCCCCATTCTCTTGTTCTCTCTCTCATTCTCTCTCTCTCTCTCAAATAAATAAATAAAATCTTTTTTAAAAAAAGTTCATGATTACGTATCTGTTCTGTTCATGGTACTGATCTAGGGCCATGAGAAATTAGAAGGTGACCCAGAAGTATCTCTCTCAAAGGGCCTTGGCTGAAGAGATTATCTTGTCTTAGAAAGAGAGGAGTCCAAGAATAGCCCTTTAGAGACTGTCCTTCAGCTCAGTTGACTAATGCTGGATGAACAGGACAGTGGCAAGAGACAGATTGTCTGCTTGACCCTTCTTACCTCTTTGTACCTTGTCCTTATTTCCATAGACACTAGCATCCTTTTTGATTTTGCCACTTTTTCCTTTATCCCGCTTCATCTATGGCTATTAGAGAAACATTCATCGTTTATTGTTCCTCGACGAAGACGTACGTTTATGTGTGTAATGCATAATGTAAGAAATATCTTTGTTGAAGGTAGCATGCACATAGATTTATGAACATGAGTAAATATGACACATTAGAATATTTTCTTGGCAGTATCTAGTAAATCACAGTGATCTCAAAGAGTGAAGAGCTCAGTAAGTCCGATACAGCAGCTTGAATGTGGGAATCGCTTTTCTAGGAAATCAAATTAAACATTAAAATTCTTTAATAGATAAAATTTCCTGAGCACTTACCACATGCCAACTATTTCACTAAAAGCATCACAGTTATTAATTTACTTAGTCCTCTCTGCAAATCTGGGAGGAAGGCGTCATTATCATGCACATGTGTCAAAGGGGGAAATTGCCACTTGGTAACATGGCTAAAAAGAGGCTGAGCCATTTTTCAAATCTACGCGGTGTGGCCCCAGAGTTTCGCTCCTAGCTATCCCATTTCCTTGGTCCGACCGTGATTATAGAACAAACAAAGAAATAAAACCCAACAAAACCCCCAAAACAACTTCTCTGTCATCTCCTGCTCCCTGCCCACAAGGCACAACGTTAAGACTCAGGTTTGTCAACGAATAAACCCAGCAACTATGTCTGTGACCAAAAGAATGGTTATGCTTGGGGCGCCTGGGCGGCTCAGTCGTTAAGCATCTACCTTCGGTTCAGGTCATGATCGCAGGGTCCTGGGATTGAGCCCCACATCGGGCTCCCTGCTCTGCAGGGAATCTACTTCTCCCTCCCCCACTCCCCCTGCTTGTGTTCCCTCTCTTGCTGGGTCTCTCTCTGTCAAATAAAATCTTAAAAAAAAAAAAGAACGTTTATGCTTGGCAGCATAGGGAGTTTTAATTCTGTCTATAATGCTGATAGGACAAGTCTTCTGTGGACGACATGAGACCTTGTTTCTGATGGAGGCTCAACCACCTACAAGCTCTGTGACCAGCTCAGTGGTTGCTTTTGTTTCTCCTTTCTTCATCAGTCCACGTGGCTCTCTGTTCTTCGTATTTTTCTGCTCACTCTTTGAAAAAGTTGATAGGCTCTTCATTCTCATGTATTTTCCCTGTTATGACCCTAACTGTCTCTTCTGAGGCATCTCATGTTAGATAGTTGGATTGAGCTAATCTTATCTCAAGATTGCTAGTATCTTTTATTTTATCCTTCAATACCTCTTAGAAGCATGTCTCCTTCCCAAATAAAGAATTTTGGTGCTAAACAACAATAATTAATAGATCTCCATTAAGAGTTAGAGAAAATCCAGAAGCTAAGAAAGAGTGAGAGTGGTCGAGAAAGTGCCAGGAAGGGAGACCTAGGCCAAGCGACCAGGTCACTCCATGAGGGTAGACTGATGCTGGGATGGAGGATGCGGGTGGGGGCATGGCAAGTGTTACCCTAGAAATTTACACAGAATGACAGGTGTTCATGTTTTACTTAGAAACATTTATTAACCACTCCTTATATGTCAAGCACTGATATACAAGGATAAATAAGACACAACCCTGTTTTCTGAGGACTTATATCTGATAGGGGAGGGAGATATCTAGACAAGTAGGATCACCAGTGTTAAGTATATCCAGATAACCCCGAGGACACAGATGGAGTGATCAATTGCATGGAGTCCATCATCAAAGCCTTCATGTTAGCGAGGAGGGGTTTGAGGTGGTCCTGCATGTGGGCTGGGAGGACACTCCTCGGAGGGCATGACAGTGGGAAGCAGGTGCACACCACACAGGCACTAGGCAGCTCGGACCTTTAGAGCCTGTGTCGTCCGGAGTACAAGGGGCCTTTGGACCGTGGAGTCACGAAGATCGGGTTGGGGGTATTGATGGACAAAGCTATTTGTGACGGACCTTGTTTGGTTGTAGCCTGAGTGAAGGTGGAGCCTTGGAGCCAAGCATCAATCCAGAAGGCAGGAAGGATGGGCAGAAATGGAGGCTCTGCCAAAAATGACCCAGCTACTCCTTAGTCGTGTCAGACCTTGTGGCTTTTTTTTCATTAATTTCAGTTTAAAATTTTAATAACGACAAACATTCACAGAGCATGTGCCGTGTGTCTGACTCTGTTCTTAGCTCTTCACAACCAGTAAGGGTTACGTTTAAACCAACTGTACGGTTGGAAGCTGGGGAGGATTCAAAGGAGACATTACTTTCTAAACTCAAGGACCTAGAAATCTACATAGGAAGATAAGAAAACATAGAAGAAATAACTAGATAATGTTATAAGAAAGTATAGGGTTAATTTATGGAACATCCTGAAAGTAGCAACTCAGCACAATGGTACTCTTTAAAATACTGGGCTGTTCTCTGGGGCTGGGAGCAAGATGGAGATTTGCTTAATGAACACACTGCAGACACCGGAGCTAAATACTATTGATTTCGTGCTATTTTGTTTACTCATCTCTCCTCTGTAAACCAGAGGGCTCAATGGTGGATGAAGTCTAGAAACTGATAGGAAATAAATAGTTAACAGTCAAACCCTAGGCCCACTCTGAACCTTTCGAGGCAGCCAGTAAATTGAACGCAGCAGCAAGAAAACAGAGCTACTTCTGCTCACCCATGGAAACAGTCAAGCTGCTACAATTTGCTCAAGGTGCAAGTAACAGATCAGCCTTTCGGAGGACCCTGCACACGCTGCACATTGCGGCAGTCTCACCTCGGTCCGCAGAGCCTCAGCCTCACAGCTGGCTGAAGGAATTAGCTTGCACACCAGAATATTAATGTCAGCATCTTTTATCACATGGGCTGAGGATTTGCAACCATTTGAAAACACCCCCAACTCTGCTTGTGAATATCTGTGATTTAGAGAAAGAAGCAAAGTTATCATTAAAAAAAAAAAATCTGCCTATCATCAAACACATTGATGACAGTCCCTGTGTAAATATATATGTATATTTATGCGTGTATATATCTGTGTTAAAATATTTGGAATGCTTTCTTATTTATAAGCAATCGTGACAACGTAAAAGCAAAACAAACCCCAAAACATCTTCAGAAGGTGCTTTAGAAAGAGAATCAAAGGAATGCTTCCCCACTTCTACCCATCCCCCAAACCCACCTTGCAATGAATTGCATAAACTAGACAGAGAATTCTCATAAAATGCCTTCGGATGGTGGGCTGCTATTGGTGTATCTCCTAACACCCCCATTTATGCCTATTCCCTGGCCCCCACCTTTCCTTGAGGCTTCCTCTTTGGACTGTTACCCAGTCCTAACACGCTGGGCAAGATAGACCACATCCCAGCATCAAAGAAATTTCTCTTCATGCTTGGCAGATCCTGTCAGGGGCTGCCTCAAAATCAATAAGATTTCTTTGTCAGTCAGTCAACTGCTCTATCAAAAATCAATCAAATGTGTTACTGCCCTCAAGCAGTAACCATTCTGAACAGCAGGATGTTCACATCAGACACTCGGTGGCAATAAAAACGCGTTCCAGTGAAACCCACTGCAACACAACTTTTATTCCATTTTTTAAAAAAAGACCTCAAAATGAAATTCTAATACAGCTTATCTCATATGAATAATTTTTTTAATCGAGATCTTAATCTAGGTAAATCAGTCCCTTAAATGCTTCAAAAATGCAGTATTTGGCGCTTGTCATAATGTATGTGTTAACTGCATCTGAATCTGCCCTTTGCCTTTTTAGGCATCTTGACTTGCTCTTTCCTTACTATCCTTGTTCTTGATCTCTTAAAAACTCCCAGTGTTGTGCTCATAGATGCATACTTTTTAAGAGATGAATTAATGAATTCCATCTATCAGCAGTTACACAATCGTAATCTAGCAGTGATGAAGTAAACAGCATAAAATGTGAGGTTTTATGCTCTATCCAAAATCAATCAAATGTGTTCTCTGTGGATTAACCACTTAGTAGCAGAATGACCGTAGGAAGTGTACTTAAATTTTTCCAGCTTTAGTTTCCTCATCTGTACAATGGGATAATGACAGTTATCTCAAAATAGGTCATTAGAATCAACTGAAATAATAGATATAAATTACTCCAGAGTTTCTGTCACAAAGGGAATTCCCAATAAATGCCAGTCCCTACCACTTGGATTTCAGGAAATAATGGTTGATATGGATTAAATTAAGGGCCTCTTCTGGCCAAAGTTTCATGTTTTTTTATGACATTTTCTGGATTAGGTAAGAATGTGGAATGGTAAGAGACCAGCTTACACATACATCTATTAATCTACTATATATTTAATCAATTAATGCATTTTAGAGTGAAGTTTCTTGTCTGAGGACGATTCTTTTGTAGAAGAGACAGAGTGAATGATTGAAGCACATTATCATCTGGTTGAAAATATTACTTTCACCTCACTCAAAACTACTGCAGGTCCGAGCAGCGGTACATTAAATCACCAGCTTCAGACCCTGTAAACTCCAGGCAGATAGAGTCATTCGGGGACAATAGATGCTTTGAAAGTCTAGATGAAGAGGAGACGTCTACCACTATTTCCAGGGACAATAACAATATTTCTAAAAGCCTGCCATAAGCTCTCATTTACAAAGTCTCATCAGTTTGGGACTTTATCCTTGGCATGAAAGTAGACTCTTGTCCTCTCCGCTAACGTACTAAGCAAATCAGCAGCAGGCCCACATGAAAAGGTGGCATATTTACCATCTTAACAAAATACCCGACTTTTAAACAAGGGAAGTTGTATATATTTTCATAAGACAACTTACTTGCAATGCTAGCACAGGCAGACATTCTGCAGAGTGAATCTCAATTTCCTTTCATTATTGCCTTAATCCCTTCTGGGCAGCACATGGTTAAGCATATTCCGGTTACCGCAGGATTTTAAAATTTAAGAGCAAGAAAGCAAACAAGTAGACAAGGATATAAAGAAATAGTCTATAAGTCAGCCTTTCTTCTTCTGCATACAGCATCTCTCCCATCCAATCATCTAAATTATTTGGAATTTGGTCAAGGATGGACAACAAAGATTAATGAGTCCCCCTCTGAATTTGAGAAGTACGTAGTATTTTACTGTATTGGATCTCAGGGCTTCTGTTGTCCCCTGATTTGGCCTATAACCAGCCAAAAAAGAAATTATAGACACTAGCACTGTAGTTTCTGCAAAATGCAATTTCTTAAAAACATATTGAATCTTAACAATGTAATTGACAAAACATCACTAGAGATGTAAAACTAATGAGCCACGATGTTTCTAAGAATACACTTTAAAAAATGAAGAGTATCTTATCATTTGGTATATATTTCATGAACAAATGCCTACAACCAGAGGAAAATGACCTCTCTACTCTCTTGCTGTTCTTAATAAAATTTCTGTAATGCTTCCCTTTACAAAGATCTTAGACTGTAGGCTTCAGGGACAAATTTTACACCAACCAAGGGCTTTATTATGTGTCTTGCCTCCTCATTTGATCCATTTAATTTTTTATAGAAATTAACTTCCTCTTCTTTTATCCATGTATGCTTGTCTTCCCATTGGAGTATTAACTCTTCAGAAGACAACAGACAGTATCTACACTCTTATCGACCTTCATCTAGGGCAGTAACATGCTCTGCAAAAAGCAAGCACTCCATAAAATTGATTCTGTTTCCTGTCTTTTCCACCTACATTGGAAATATCTTTGTTTTCAGTCCTTATTTCTGGAACCAAATGGAATGTCGTCCTGACGCGGGTCTATCTCTACAAGTATAGGAGGAGGGTATTTCTGAGAGTGGTGGGGGGTACTGCTCCCTCCTGTCCCCACCTGGCCTCCAGTACCACCTCCCCAATGGGACACATGTGACATCCCAGCATCCTTGAGGGGAAAGTCAAAAAGTATAAAGACCAGATATGTGATAGAACACAAAACATGGTGATATACAGAATGAGCTGTACAAACTGAGAAATTTAAATCACAGTCTGTTGTTCCATGAAAGTGCAAGAATTGCAAATTTTTCTTCAAGATGGGAACTACAAATAGAGAAAAACTCTTTAGACCATCTTGTGGCGAGTCCACCACTACCACATTAGACCATGTTTCTTTGCCCACTCCCAGCCATTCTAACCATGCTCCGTGTCTGTTTGGGTAGATATTATTATAGTTAATTACAAGAATTTTTTTTTAATTTGCTAGTAAAAAGAGTCTGTCCTTTCCAGTTCTTGATTGAGCAGGCAGTGCATAACTTATGGAAAGATGATTTCAACGAGAGGTGACCATACTGTAGCAAGAATTGAAAAAAAAAAGATTTTTCTTTTAATGATTAGGTCTCACTGAACTCACCAACTGGAATCAAATATCAGGGAAGCTTTCTTGCTTACTTTATCATTTATTATACACAGTAGAGCTGGAAGATAACTCAAGAAATCTAGTAGAGCCCTGTGGCCTCAGGGAAAACACTCTGAAACACTGTCCAGCAGGGTTGTTGATTGACTCCATGTGGACTAAAATGGCAAGAACATAATACTCTCAGCCTGGGCCATCTCATAGATATCTGTTCTTTTCTCCCTTATTTATGTACATTCCAAACTATTTTAGAAGGAAATTCATTTCATTTGGCATGAATTCTTCTTTTTCAAAACCTTTTTGGATGTTTCAATACATTTTGCCTTCTAGATAAAAGAGATTAATTCATCATTTTAGAAATTATAGGACCTATTTAGATGTCCTCCTACAAGCTTTCTCTTAAATATGAATGCTATCTATATCTGTATTTGACTAGTTCATAGTTTTTTGGGTTTGTTTGTTTGTTGGATTGGTTCTTCAATGAATTATTTAAGAAGATACTGATTTTAAAATATTAGCTCTATTCCTTAGAAAAACATTATATTAACAAAAGTAATGCAATCACATTGAAGAAAGTATGGCAAATGGAGAAAATATAATCGGCAAGAATCCCACCATGCCAGTACAATCTGTGCTATTACTCCAGTGTATTTCTTTCCAGTCTTTTTACTGATACTCAATTTTGATTGCCCATAGTTATCGTAGAAGTTCTTTTCTTGCTCTTTTTTCAGTCAATATTATAGGAAGAGCATTTCCTCGCTTTTTATATGGTCTTTATATCATCACCTTTGCAATCAGATTCCATTAAATGGATCTGTTATTCTTCCATTTTAGGACATTCTGGGGTTGCTCCATATTTTGATTATAGGTAATACTGCAGTGAATATTTTCTTTCTTTCTTTTTTTTGCAGTGAATATTTTCATTTGTATACTTGAGATTATTTTCTTAGAATCAATTTTCTGAAGAGGCTAAAATGTGTAAACACTTGAGAATTTTGATATGCATTGTCAAATTTCTTTTCAAAAGAGTGGTGCTAATTCAGAGTACCATCAGCAACGTTTGAAAGTGTCCATTTCTTCCAATCCTCACCATCAATGGGAAATATACACTTCTAAAATACGAACTTAACAGACCAAAACAATGCATCATTAAAAAAATAGATTTATTCCTAGTGAAAAGGAATATTTTTCTTTATATTTCTTCTTTGTAAATTAGCTCTTCTCTTTATTTGTCCATTTATCTGTTGACTACCCGTATTAGGCTTTTAAAAATATTCACTCCCAACCTTTTCAAACTACCAACAATGTACGGACTCATTTTCTTATAACTTGAATGTATCTGTTTTCTGCATCTTCTCTTCTGCCATTTCCCCCAGTTTTAGTTCTACTTAATTGAAAATACTCTGATTGTCAAGACAGCACATTTTTCTTGTCTCTCTTTTGGGGAGCTGTCCCTCCTCCATGATTTCATTTTGTTCATTTGTTCTCATGTAGTGACTTTGGTTTTGGCATTATTTTTCACAAACTTGGCCTGCCATAGACTATCTGCAGTTCTCATTCACAGGACAGCACCTGCTCGAGTGTAGGATCGTCTCCTAATTATTTTACCATGCACTGCCAATCTAATGTGACCCATCATCCCAGTTACAGATCCTGGGCATTAGTGGAAAGGCCTCTAAGGCTGTGGCAAATAAAAAATCTTGTCATTTAGCAAGTTTTCCCTTCATTCCATGACACATCACACTGATGGGAGAGATGAGAGTGTAATAGGAAGAACACAATGATGGCGGGTGTGATTTTGTTTTTTTGGCCACAGACTTTTCATTCCCAAGGTATAACACTCATGTCTGTTAGCTAAGCTCAGAAAAAAAATAATGAGAAACAGGTGACGGCCTTGAAAGCATCCCCTGAGCAATTGACTGCTCTCCAAAATGATGCCCTGAGCATGTGCAAGGGAAATTTAAAAGACCATAAATGCAGCAAACTGATCCAAGTCATGTCCAGAGTGAAAGATGTATCACGTTGGGACATAGAATGGCCATTAGGGTGGGCAAGAGAACAGGATCTGTGATTTCAAGAACTACAAACCGTATCGATGTGAGAGCCTGACAACCTCTTAAGACAGGATTATATTACTCTTCTCTCTCCTGTGGTCCCTCTCTTCAGTCTCCTAAGAGATGGTCACTGTTATCTTTTATTTGCCTTAAATGTATAGGAGGCAACAGAGTTGAGGAGAGGGTGTGGGCTTTGTGACCAAACAGGTCTCTCTGTATATTCGTGGGCAAATGATTTAATCTCTTCAAGACACAACGTTCTCAATGGTAAGATGAAAACAATAGAAATCTACCTGACCAGGTTGTTGTGAGCTTTAAGAGGCAATGTCTTAAAATATCACACTCAGATCTTAGCAAATGGTGGGCTCCAATAAATGGTATTCTGGTTGCTCTTGCTGTCTTTATTATGTACAGAGTTAGCTCTTGAGATGTGACCTTGCTATGCATCATAAATTACCATGTGGAGAACAGAGCTTGGATTCAAGTGTGTACAAACTGTTAATTCATATTGCAGTGTTTGAGACTGAGAGTGGAAAATATATACATTGTTCCCATATCTGTGCTTTCATTAAGGAAAAATACTTTCTTTTTATGTGTATTTTCATTGCATTATATTTTTGCAGGATATTCTATGTTGTCTATGTTGGAAAGGAGAAAGATAAATGCCGCTGATTAGCTACTTGGGGGTCAAGAAGGCAGAGTGATGTGTTCATTAACTTTTGAACCTCCTTGGAAATCATGGCAGTGCTTTCAATAATTATTTTTATCACTCAAAAAGTGATATACAGTACTGCTTAGCTACAGGAAGCATCTACTCATATATCTACAAAGTAGATCTACTCAAAAGGTCAAAATTTTACTTACTAAATTAGAAGGTAGATGTGGAAAAGTACTTAAATCTATGATCAAATTGTCCTTCTTACTACTTGCGCTAATTTTTTAAATAAATAGAATGCACTAGGAAGATGGCAAGAAAGAAAAGACATGGATCAATTATTTTGGCCCCCCTAAAAGGGAATCTTCATCAGTCCCTTGCCATCACCTCTAACGATGTAAAGCACTGACAAGAAATTCTAGCCAACAGTGACTGAAAATGGGTTGGCAATCATAAATTAAAATTAAGGAATTTAAATATGATATAAAATCATTTAATCTTGATGATTTATGCTAGTTCTCAGAGGCAATTATTTACCAACGCTTATGTTTATTGCTCTTTTGACTTTTTTAATTACAGTAAACCCAAAATTCAATTATACACTCTAGTATATATTTCAAGCAATAGTATTGTAAATAAAAGGGGAACCAATTAATAATGTGCTTAGTCTAGCAAAGCTAAATCAGGATAATACAAAACATAGGGCAACTTGATCCAGGTTTGAAAGCTGTGGAAAACATTCCATCTGGTTAAGTTGGAAAATCTGAAGGTTGGAAATGATGATTCCTTTTTTCTTTTTTTAA